TTTTCCCCCTTTTGTCTCGTGCCCCTTGAGAAGAAGGAAGAATTAGAAGGGAAAAGAGGTCCTGAGGTGGGAGCTGATCCCCGGCTATATTGTATCTTTAAATACGGGCACCGTATGTGGGGTATAGTGGCCAATATCAGTGCGATAACCAAGGTTGGGCATCTCAGAGAGATAGCCAGCTTTTAGTCTAATACCCTATTAGATAGCTTGGTCTTGTATTAAGCATTACATTTAATAAAATTTTAGTACACAGTTATCAAAGGAAAAAAAAAAAAAAAAAAATTTACATTAATTAATATTTAAAGTTTTTTATCCAGTGCCTTTTGAAGTTAAACATATCTGTCCAGTCTATCAATAACTAATAAAAAAACCTTTTTACTAACTCTTGCAGAAAGTACCCAAGCTTGAATCAGATAAATTATGATATCAGTTTGCCAAGCAAATTTTAATCGAATTTTTGTTTCTTCTAAAAAGTTACTTTTTATATCACTAGTTTTTAAAAAATGTTTCAATATAAAAAGAAATATTATTAAGATATGTAAGGTATCTGACATCATAAATGAATGGCTATGTGTAATTGGATTCGGTAAACGTGACCATTTTGATGGCACTTCAAAATTTTTCTAGTATTTAATTAACTTGTCTTCTCCCTCTGATGTCAAAATAAAACAGGTGCAATCAAGAAGTCTTGCTGCTTTTCCCACGATAGCATGGTAAGCGTCTTGTGGAGTGTGTTGATGACGATCATGAAGGATAAGATCTAGAGGTCCTGGTAATAATTGCAACCCATATCGTGAACAAAGTTGTGATCATGCTGTGTTTGTCATTTGTTCACTTATATTTTAAAATTCTTGATTGGTTATTTGATGATATCAACCATTGGAATAAATATCGAATGAAATATCTGTTAATTTATCTTTAGAAGCTTTACAGCTTTGACATCCTAAATTAGCATTATGATGTAAAACTCCTACAATGTCATTGCCTTGCGGCAAATCTGCTGTAACTACAGCTAATCTGCCTGAAATCCAACAATCAACTCCATTTACATTAAATACAAATCCTTGTTCTAACTGACGAACCTCATTATTAAAAATTTTTATAAAATCTTTAAGATTTCTGCCAAATAGCACTAATCCAATTATAAAGTGATTTTTTAATTGCTTTCTCAATTTTCGCAGCATGTTTCCTATTTGCAAATAAACACCACCCAAAAAATAGTAAGTGTTACAGAATGTACCGAAATCGTCATAATAGAGATCCAAATAAAATTTAAGAATTGGAATATTTGAGTTTGTCTGTAATTTGATAGATATATATTCAGCAGGATGTTGATAACGTAAATTTATAGAGCGAAGCTTCCATTGATTATTATAATTGTATAATATTTTGTTTACAAAAAAATCAAATATATGCGGAGCAGGCTAATCTTGTAGCCAAATATTAAGACGACAGATTAATGACGAAGGATCAATAATAAAATAATTGGATTTTTCAACCAAATATCGCTCTTGTGGTGAGTGTGGAATATGTCATTTAGAGCTTAGATACTGTAAAATTTGGTTATAGAAAAATAATCATTGAATTCAAACTGACATTTTTTTATTTACAATTATGAAAGATCGAATTCGACCAATTTCAATCATTTCTGAATCTGAAGAGTAGTAAACAAAGTCTCTACAATTAAATGAACCTAAGAATAAAATTCATTAAATAAAAAATCTTAAAATAATACAGTCGCACTCCCATATAATAACACTTTCGGGACCTATAAAAAGGGTTCTTATATAGAAAATGAGCTTATGTAGAGAGTAATTTTTATATGTTTAATAGTACTTGGCTCAAAATATAAATATGCTTATAAAGACAATGTGCTTATATAGGAGCTATTCTGTTTAATAGAATTAATATATGCCTTGTGCTGTCATTAAATTTGGCTGGCCAAAAAGAGGAGATTTGGCCCATAAATCACCTTCCCATAATTTTTAACAAGATTTTGAAAAAATGCCAGGTCCAAAGTACAATTGAGAGCTAAGAGATGGATTCTTTAATATTCGTTTGAGATGTTCAATTAAAGAAAAGAAGTAAACACGAGTTGAATCTTTAGTAGTTGATGGTGTATTTCTAATATTTATTGGAACCATGTGACTTTGAATCTTCATTAATGGCAGTTGTTCGCATTGCCTCTTAAGACTTTGTAAATTAGTAGGTAAATGGCTTTTTTCAAATTTAGGATGAAGCAATATCTGTATCAAATCTTGGTAGGCCGCAGTTGCTATAAAAAAAAAGTAATCTTTTAAGTTTTAATAATATATAACTAAATCGAATTACACTATTTACAGATTATGTATTTGGCAGCCCATATAAATATAGCCATATTTGTAAAGTTTTTAAAGAGCCCATATAAGCATCACAGGTCGAATGAAGCCATATTGGGAACCGTGTAACTAGATAAAAACTGGAGACATATCGGGTTTCGATATGTCTCCGTTTTTAATTTTTAATATCATAGTCCTATCGGGTAACCGATAGGACTATAGTTTTAACCCGAATATAAAATGATAAATATAAACTATATCATATAATAATCGGAAATAAATCAAATAAATCTATAGAGCTTTCGGTTAATTTATATGTATATGATGTTTAACTTATAACACATGATATTAATAAAGATAATCAAAACATATCAGGATAAAAATTGATGTATCTATAGAACTATTGAATAAATTTATTTGTATATGATTTTTAACTTATAGCACACGATATTATTAAAGATAATCAAAACATATCGGGATTAAAACTGATGTATATATAGAGCTATCGAATAAATTTATTTGTATATGATTTTTAACTTATAGCACACGATATTAATAAAGATAATCAAAACATATCAGGATTAAAACTAATATATCTATAGAGCTATCGATTAATTTATATGTATATAATTTTTAACTTATAATACTTGATATAAAAATTGATAACCAGTACAGATTGGTAAAATATCATAATAACGTAAAGCCTTATCGTGCTGAGCATTTAGATAAAAATCAGTGACATATCAATTTTTGATATATCACTGGTTTTTATTTTTAAATCAATGCCATATCGGAAAACCGGTAGGTCTTTTGATGTAACAATAGAACTATTGAATAATTTATATTTATATAATTTTTAACTTATAATACTTGATATAAAAATTGATAACTAGTACAGATTGGTAAAATATCATAATAACATAAAGCCTTATCATGCTGAGCATTTCAGATAAAAATTAGTGACATATCAATTTCCAATATGTCACTGGTTTTTATTTTTAAATCAATGCCATATCGGAAAACTGGTAGGTCTTTTGATGTAACAATAGAACTATTGAATAATTTATATTTATATGATTTTTAACTTATAATACTTGAT